TACGTTACTTTTTCATGCAATTTGCCCAAAATTAAATTACTTCATGTATTTCTCATTTTGATAAAATATGTTTACTAAAATTAATAGAATGAAGATGATAATGTACATAATTATTTGAAATGAATTATTTGAAACAATTTCATCATATTAAATAATTTCATGAAAAAAATTCACTAAAATAAACAATGAAATCGACAGTTTTAATGGCTTGTACGAATGAATTGATTTGCAAAATATCCTCTTGGATTTTGTACTTTGGACTTTGAGTTTGATCTGATTGTCGATATTAATAAATCAACTCAATAATTTTGTAATACTTATAATTATACAATATGTATTTACGAATCAGATATATTGGAGTTTATTATCTTCTTGAACTGTGGTTACTTTATCGTTGATTTTATAATGTATTTTTAAACTTGTAATTATTGGATTTTGAGGCATAAAGTGTGATAGGGACAAAACCGTATAAACCGCACCACACCGCAAACACCCATAGAGTAAACTACAAATTTGGTCCTTGTGGTTTGTCGGAAATAACACTTTTCATTACTACAGTTTTCAAATTACAATATGACCATCATGGTTTACAAAAACGTTTGGATTTATCTCTCTCTCTAATAGTCATTAAAAAATTCTTTAAGGGGCATTTTTGTCCTTTTATCAATTTTTTTGTCTTTTACCCGATCAAAACCATATGAACCAAAATCGTTTTGATTAGGTAAAAGATAAAAAAAAATCAATAAAAGGTCAAAAATGTCATTCAATTGTTCTAACGAGTCTAATTTTTATTTTTAAACTGTAGAAAATGTAAACATATTTAAGGTTATGAAACTATCAACGTCTAAGACGTTAAAACCCATCGTCGTTGATTGAACCATGACCTACCACATGTTTAACGTGATATGAAACACTAGTCTTGATCCACGACGACTATTAACGAGGCTTGTAGAGTATTAATCAAATATCATGAATTGGGTTAAGGTAAACTAATTGGATCAAAGGCTCAAGAGTATTGTTCCACCAAACCACACCCTCCAAGATTTGGTCATATGTCAAAAACAACCCTCAAATCTTTTATAAAAATCTAACACCTTCACCTCATGGAAAATAAATGGCTTTTTTTAATCATCTTACCCGAGTTTGAATCTAGACGTTATAAAAGTCTTTAAATTCACTTGCAATAACTTCAAATCATTCATGACCATCTGAGGATTAGCCGATGCACGTAAATTGACCTGAATATTCACGGTTACCCAAAAAAACATAAACTCACACACTCTTACATTTGATGAAGTTTGAACTTTTGACCTCCTAGGAGGCCAAAGTATCATATACCGCTGTGCCAAAGACCTTTTGGTTGTTTAATTAATCTTTGTTGCGGGTAATGCCCGTTTTCAGAAAATGAGATTCGTCTGATACGACATACGTATGAGATGATGACTAATCTTATGAATCACGTAGACGAAATTTCGAACACAATTCGAAGTATTAACAGCTAGCGATTAAAAGTACATATATGATTAAAATATATTGGGAAGAGCCAACAAATAACAATTGGGAAAAAAAGATAGATTTCTCTTTTCAATTTCTAACAAAAACCTACCCAAATTCAGTATTCTTTTTCCCTCCAAATCTCATTCAGAATCACTTTCCATGCTTCCCATTGCCTTCAATCCCCTGGGTCTCTGCAAAAACCATTGTACAACTCATTACAGCACAATATACAACATGTATTCCAAAAGGTACAAGTTAGCATTGCATCATTTCTGGCCCACAAAGGTTCCAAATCAGAAAGCAAATGCACAACTTTCAGAAAATATATTCCAAGTCTGTTTTTGGATTTGGCAGAAGGGTTTGCAACCATGATCTGATAGCATAATTAGTTACAGATTTGACCAAAAGGGTTAACCACCTTCTTGGAAGTCTTCTTCTCTCTAACTTCATATCTTTCTTGGCATAGATCAGATAGCCATGCTCCTGGACTAACCAACTGCAGACAAACCACCAAAATTCAGATCAAGCAAATCTTGAATGAATCAGAGCGAACCCATGATTTGAAGAACTGTCAAGAAGGAAAATAGGAGTGATTAAGTGATTTTACAAGTAAGGTTCTTTGAATCATCTTGGCCCTTTTCTTTGGCCTTTGAGGCAGTTTACACCCTTTCATAGCCATGAAGTCTTCTTCTTTCTCTTTGCTTGATAATGTGGTGAACAGTTTAGGCCAAACTGCCCTTTTGCTCTCTTTCTTTGTATCCACATTCAACACCTTCTTGCTGCTGCTGCTGTCGTCGAATCCTGCTCCTGATCCCCGTGTCGAGTAGTACCGATCTTCTTTTTCTGGTRACGATAATGCCGACATTATCTTCCTGTTGGTGACCCTAAAACCAATCAGAAAWGCAAGAAACAACCCGCAAAAACAATGTTCTTTTTCTATCTTTTTTGTGCAAAATTAACTAAGATCTAATGAAAAATGTAAAACCCGTCGAAATTTCGGTGTCGATTTGCATATATGGATTGTGTTCTTCATCAAAATTCCCACACAAAAAGGATTTATAGATGCATTTCAAGAAAGCCAAACACCCATCAAGAAAAAGCACCAAACTTTATCTTTTGTCCTTTGGTTTTCTCTGCACCCGAACAGAACCCATGTTCTCTTTTCGCTTTTTAATCAATAAAATACCAAAAAATAGATAGAAAAGTTGAAAAAACTCCGTAGATCTCTGCAAATTCTACCASCTACCAAGGGCCAAAGATCTAGGGTTTTGGTTTTAATCATCCAAATACGAGATTTAGGAGCAATTTAAGCTGAATTTGAGGTTAGTAATCAAGAAACGAGATGGGGTTTCCATGGATAAACTTTGTTTTACCTAATAGCTGACCACAAGCATCAAGGCCAGATAAGGTGTTCCACAAATAAAACTTTGGACATTATACAAAATTGAGGTGTATGAAAAGACTCAAAAGCCTTTGTTTCGATATATTGATGTGAAATAAAAATAATTTGTATTGCATGAGGAGTTTATTTGCAGGTTAACTTATCGGTACGGTTGGGTACTTCCCATAATTTGGTGCCATCTAAACCATATAACTCCATGGCTTTTAAATTCCATGGCTTATCAATGGCATATAGGTAAGCTTAAAAGCTGGATTTTGATTGTTCTCCCAAAATGCAAGGCCTATCAATAGGCTTGGCCATAAAATCATCATTTATTTTTTCCTAGGGACTCATGCATTCAAG